AGCTGGGGGGTTACAAGACTTGGCTCCTTGGCCCGAGGCTTTGTTTCGGGACATTTCGTTCGTAACAAAAGGGGAAATGCAGATTAATTTATAGGAGACTGACAGGAAACATGGGGGGGGGGTGTTAATGTGACCGTGCTGTGCCTCTCAAAGGAGTGGGAAGCGAGACTAGCTGCTGGTTAAAGAGATTCACGAAGGGGGACACTTTCATTCTGATGTGCAGAAAGTTGCCATCCGCCCCCGATGTATATTTAGCTGCTGTATATTTTGGTGAGCCATGCCAGCGCTCTTGGCCATTGCTTTGCCTTTGCAGCGGGTGAGGGGATGAAATGGAAAGTATGTAAGGGTGGACAAGTGGCTCTTTCTCAGATGGCTGCCCGATGCTTCTGCCCAGGAGATGAGGCCCAGAACAGATGCCTCTGAAGAGCCTTCCTTTCTGTCTTCAGCTTGTCTGAGTCTTCGTGCCTTTGCTGTCTCCGAGGCCGACCTTTGCTGTGGGTCCGCAGAAGGTCGTTCGTCAGCGTTGGTGTAGATGGTCCATGCAGCCGTGGACTTGGTGACCACGTAGGCGGGGGCCCTCAGGTTGACATCCTCTTGGCAGCTCTAAGGACGAGCTCCAGGCTTGGAGAGTGGCGTGGTAGAGGGCCCTTGGGACCCCTTCCCTCAGAGGGAAGCGGAGACCTTGCCCAGGTTTTGGAGCCGACTGCCTTTTGTGTCACGTGACTTTATTCTCTCTTTCCCCCCTCCCCTTCTTTACAGACTGTCTTGAGTTCTTCTTGAATTGCCAGTTTTCAGCCTCCTCATGCCTCCGTCTCCTTTAGACGACAGGTTAGTGGTGGCATTGTCTAGGCCCGTCCGACCTCAGGACCTCAACCTTTGTTTAGACTCAGGCTACCTTGGCCCTGCCACCCCCGGCAGTAGCAGCCGCCCTCCGGTCATTGCCACCACCGTCGTGTCCCTCAAGGCTGCGAATCTGACGTATATGCCCTCATCCAGCGGCTCTGCCCGCTCCCTGAATTGTGGATGCAGCAGTGCCAGCTGCTGCACTGTGGCAACCTACGACAAGGACAGTCAGGCCCCGACCCAGGCCGTCGCCGCTGCCATCGGAACCTCTACCGCCTGCCCTGCCAGCCAGATGGTCAACAGCAATGAGAACGCAGGCCCTTTAAGTCCGTCAGGTGGGGTGGGAAGCCCTGTGTCAGGGACCCCCAAGCAGCTAGCCAGCATCAAAATAATCTACCCCAATGACCTGGCGAAGAAGATGGCCAAAGGCAGCAAGAGCCACCTGCCGAGCCAGGGCCCCGTCATCATTGACTGCAGGCCCTTCATGGAGTACAACAAGAGTCACATCCAAGGAGCTGTCCACATTAACTGTGCCGACAAGATCAGCCGGCGGCGACTGCAGCAGGGCAAGATCACTGTCTTAGACTTGATTTCCTGTAGGGAAGGCAAGGACTCTTTCAAGAGGATCTTTTCCAAAGAAATTATAGTTTATGATGAGAATACCAATGAGCCGAGCCGAGTGATGCCCTCCCAGCCTCTTCACATAGTCCTCGAGTCCCTGAAGAGAGAAGGCAAAGAGCCTCTGGTGTTGAAAGGTAATGCCCTCCCTGCCCCCTTCCCCCGCGCAGTCCCGGTCAGCCTGGGTCCAGTGCGGGTTCGGTCTTAGAAGTTCCGGCAGCCTCCTTACCCTGGCGACCCGAGGCCAAGCCAGGCTTTCTTCTTCTCGTCTTCCCTTCTTGGCCCTTCGTTGTTCTGGTAAGAGTGAGAAAAGCCCAGTAACACAGAACTGGAAGCCAGAAGCCCTGGGTTCCAGTCTCGATTCAGCCGCTCGGTTGCGTGGTGCAAGCATCTCACCTCTCTGAGACTGTTTTCTCATCTTTCTAAAGAGGGGCTTTGTGCCACCACATGGTTTCTCAAGTCCTAACTGGGCTGGTAGCACCATTCCAGTCAATAACCAGCTGGAAAGGTATTGTCCCTCAGATTTAACCCAAGTTGATGGAACGGAGGAAGCAGCAACTATGGTGAACTACAAGTAAACCTACAGGTACCAGTTCTTTTGGTGGGGAAGCTTCTTCCTCACCTCTCTGGCCAGCTGGGCTTTTAGGTGGTTTATAAAGTGACCTTCAAGAAGGGCAGAGACCCTTCTTATAAGGCCCCACAGAAAGCGTTAAGTGTAGCCAAAACGTGCATTCTTCTGCCAAAGCTCCAGGGGGACAGAGACATTTTTATGAAATACCTCCCCAACCCGTTGTTCTTTCTGGCCTCACCTGGCAACCGTTGGCATCATGGCTCCTTCCAGGATGGAGTGGTGGGTCACTTGCCCACGTACCCTGGATGCGGAATAACTGTGAGGTCAGCGTTGCTGAGCCCTGGCAGGAAGAGTTAGTTACCCACTCTTTCCTGAGCTCCTTTTCACCCAGGGTTGCCGAACCCAGCAGGGGAGCCCTCATCTGGGATCTTTCCCGGTTGCTCCTCCTTGGCGTCCGATATTGTCCTTTGGGGCACTACGCACTGCTGTGCGTCTTCGGTGTCTTCTGTCCTTTGGTGATCGTGGGAGACAGTCATCCTCTCTCTTTTCTTCTCTTGTATTTAGAGCTAAGGTATACGGTTTCTGGGCCACATCACCACCAAGTCTCCTGAAGAGTGTTGACCAAAGGCATTGCTGGGTTCCTTTAAATACCTTCCATATTTCACTTGCAGCAGGCCACTGGAATGAGCAAGTCGGTTGTTCTGTCTTTGTGTGACAGTTCCGCCATTCTCCTTGTCTTCCCAGTGACGCATTCTGCCTTTTCTTAAGTAGTGTTGTTGGAAATACGGTTCTGAATTGCTCTGATATTGTCCCCCGATCCCATCCTCTCCTGAGCTCCTCAAGCTTGCTGTCATTGTGCTCCCACAAAGGCACAACTTTTCTTAGGGTCGGTGGGGTCTGGTGGGAAGGAGAACATAATGGAGGTCACATCCAGAGAGTTTCAGCAGGGCCCAGACTTTTTTGTTGTGGTTGATGGGTTTTCTCAGGGTTACGGATATATTCAGATTTCCTCTGTGGAGGAAAATCTGTGTATTTTATCGTTTCCTATTCTGGTTTGGTTGACTTTGAGTAATTCCCAGTAGGCTTACCCAGCTAGTGTTCTCTCACCACGGTCTTGGCTTGTCTTGTCTTTTTTCGGGTGGGAAAAAATACGACCTACAAATTTCCCGTTTGTAATAGTGGGGAGCAAAGAGAGGGGCTAGCCGGTGGTCGTGTGGGGCATCTCTTTGCTCACGTAGAGGAGATGTTGTTAAGAGACAGTAGACCTTTTACGTCTGTATGATCTGAGGGCGGCATCAAACAATAGAAATGAAGATGACCCTGACCTTGTACACGAGGGTGATTAGGAGGAGTTGTAGATCCTACCCTCTCGTTTGCAGCGGACACTGTTGTGTTTGGGGGTGGCTTGTCCATCGCTGGGAAATGAGTCTCCTGGGTGCTACTGATGGAAGTGGGGTTCCTCTCTGGTGGATGCAGCTTGAGAGTCCAAGCAGCCTGGGCTTGTTCCTCGGTGTCACTGAGTAAGACTGCCTCAGTGGGGCGGGGCCGGACATGCTGCTGACCTCACCACTGGGCACCCTGGGCGGCCGCCCCGAGGGCTCGTCATTTTCGGGTTGGTGAGACACAGCGGCGGTCGACCTGGAAGACGCGCTGGTGGTAGAGGTTGGATTATTTGTAGTTTTGGGGGCTTTTTCTTCAAGTATCTGGGAAGTTGGTTGAAAATACATAGTTTAGGAGCAAAAGGGCCTGTAATCTAATTAATTTATTATTGTCGTCATTACCGTTTTGGTCTCTTTTGGGGGAACGGCTTAACATTGGGACCAAGATGCGAAAGAAAGGAAAGCGATGGCGATGAGAACCCCCCCCCCCTTACCTACGCTTTCATCTGGGTAAATAAACCAAAGGTTAATCCCGTAGCACCACTGAGGTGAAGAACGGGGTGGGCCTCTCGCAGAAGCGCATGGCCAGCAACTTCTCCCAAGTTCTCGAGGGGGTCAAGCCGACCACTCTGTCTGGGTTCTCTGCTGGGGTTCATTCTACTAACCCCTCCCTTGGTGATGTAAGATTTTATGTTAGCGAGGTACCATTTTGGAATGAGCGATGTTCACAGGGAAGCTACGGGGGTGAAGGTGGGTGCAAGACTAAGGCGGAAACTTCTGGGGCCTCGTTAATTTCTCTTCAGAGATTTCGGCACAATCTTGGGTAATTTATGGCTGGCCCAACTGATTCTCCAGGTTGTGTTTGTAAACACTGGTTGCTACCCTCCCTGTCCAAGTTTCATGTCCCCCTATTTCAATGCCATGTTCTCCATTTTTGGTGCTATCACATAGAGTGGCTGCTCAGTTACCATTTTAGTAATGCTGTGTCAGGTTGGGAAGAAACCGATCAGAGGCGCAGAAGCCCCTGGGATTAAGTTACTGTTCTAATTTACAGTCCCCTCCCTGTGGTGACCTATGTCTGAATCTATGCTTTATTCTCAGCTTCCGAAGAATAAATGGCATCAGACCAGTGCTTCTGCTCATCCTGGTGAAAATGATCCAGATGAATAAATACGTAGGGATTTGCAAAGTCTCTGAAAGGGCCACAATCTGTTTCACCCCAAGTTGCCTTTTGGTATAATTTCTAACCAAATGGAGTAAGAAGACTAGACCGTTCCGGTCCCTTCCTTAATGGGAACTACCACCTTTGTCATGGTGTTTATAGGGTACCCTTACTTTTCAGGAAAGCTGAATTCAGGGAACTATTTTATCACCGATAGGCCTATGTTGGAAAGGATAGTCTATGGCTTTGCTCCTCTCGAAAGACGGTGTGTGCCCTTAAAACTTTAATAACGATTTTCAAATAGATAGAAAAGTAGAAAAGAGGTTAAAGAGCACCCACATGCCTATCACCTAGAGTAAACAGGTGTCACTATTGTCCCAAATGGCTTTCTCTTCCTTTTTCGGTTGCTGAAATATTTCCTAGCGTAGACCATAATGTATTCAAATATGTTTCACGTTGGAACTCAGTGTCTTAGCCTTGAGAAGGCTGGGAATATTTTATAGTCTAGCGCGGACAACATTTGCCCTCCCGAAACCTTCAGGGTCGTGTGACCATTTTTGAGAGTTGTTTAAACTTAGAATTCCACTCTGGCTAGGTAGCTCTCAGGTCTGTGGAGAAGCGAGTGGGGGAGGGGGCTCTAGGCACTTCCTTGGGGGTCTGTAGGGCCCATGCCCATACTTGCTCTGTGCTGTCAGGATACAAAGACTGACCCACTGCCTCGGCCCCCCACAGGCCTGCTGCCGTGGCTAGAGGTGTTGAGTGGGGAGCAGGGGAAGAGAGGAAATCACGCCAGGAAGGCTGATCCATAAGGAAGATTTGATAACATAGAGAGTTAGATTGTTATACCATAAAACCTTCCATCATGATTCCTAAGGAATGAACAACATAGATTGCACATTTTTCCATAATCACAAAGGATTCTGAAGTTAACACTTCTGGGCAATACTGAGTTTGACAACAAAATAAACGCCCGTGCTTGGAAAATCAGGGACCCTGTGACAATATTCTATTCCTGCTTTGTTTTGGGGGGGAACAGACAGTCTTCCTCTTGTCTCTCAGGGTGTTAGGAGGATTTTTTTTTAAGATACGTGAAATCAAGACATACCTACATGCACGAACTTATCATTGTTATTCTGAACCTCCGCTTACCATCCAAACGTGCTGAACGTTTGCCTTGTAGCAAATGGTGGAGACATTCAGGCGGGATTTGGGATCCCGTCTGTCTGAAGCTAGTCTTGGTCCCCTCTTACCAGCCATGCGCCCTTGGGCAAATTGCTAAATCCCTTACTTCCTTAGTTTCTGCACTTATAAAAGAGGATATAACAGTAGCTAGCTCATAGTGTTAGATTAGGAATTGAATGAATTCATGTGTGCAAACTGTCTAGACCGGTTTTCATATGTGGTAAGCATTCAGTAAATGTGGCTTCATATTGTTATTACTATTGGTTGGGGAGAAATGGTGGTGCCAGTAAAAAGGCAATCTGTGCTCCTTTGGCAAAGGAGTACAAATAGCAAGCTAGATATAACAGAGAGGGAGAGAGAGGGAGAGAGAGAGAGAGAGAGAGAGAGAGAGAGAGTGTTTGTGTGTGTGTGTGTGTGTGGTGTTATGGCCTAAAAATAACTTGGTGACTGTTACCTAATTTAAGTAGCATACGATTGGAGTGCCAAATAATTATAAAAACATGTTAGGTCAAGAGGCCAGGGTTATTTGGGCATATCCTAGAGTTATTTATTTGTAGGGGAATCTGTAAAAATGTGATGATAAATCTGTCCAACTAGCGTCCCATAACTAAATGATGAAAGTATAAAACCATTAAGCGTCACTTTTTCTGGCCTCTCGGGCTGATTTATTTTTGGAAGAAGGATTGTAGTCTGACTATAAAAGGGTAGGTGGAAGGAGGGGGGGGAATGTGCTTCATTTTCAAAGGTTCTCAAAGCTTTGAGTTGTGAGGAGATGGCATGTGAAGGAAAGGCGGGGAATCGTGGGAAGGCCTGTTCTTGAAGCGAGACCTGGGCCTTTGCTCT